CCAAACAAACTTTCTTACTTCACATGTCAAATTAAACTTTCAAAACTCAATTTCACACTCAATTCAAAACTCAATTCAACACTCTATTCAAAAATAATAACCAAACAAATTTTCTACACTCAAATCATAATTCAATAACTCACAAACTCAAAATACAACTCATACTCTCAAATCATATTTACAAAACTCTACCAAACACAACCTTATATTCTTACCTAAAACTCATACAAAAAGCTCTACAAGAATGATGTGACAATACCATTATTATAAATAAATTCATCTTTAATGTTATTTTGTTTTGAAATAAAATGTCAACAATAAATACATCATTATGTATACAAAAAGTAATTCTACTTACACTACTACTTTACATTTTTACACCCTCCATATGAGAAGAAAAATTCTATTTTCACACACCTATTTATCTCAATGCATATATTTTTTCAGTGCATATATTTAGTAATTTGATTATTAATTTTTGTTCACATTCCATATACCAATTATTGCAATCATACTCCTAACTCATATCTTGTACACATACTACCTCAACCCTCTTTCCACACACCTAGTCAAAATTGAAGATCAACGGTCTGCCCTATTTCGGTTCATGATGAAGGAAACTCCATTGAAAAGACTGAAGACCTAAGACCCTCCATTAAAGGACCTCCATTGACAATAACTCCATTAATGACCCATCTCCTCCATTTGACACTCTAGTTCTGAAATCTGTTGAAGGTAACTATTATTTTGTTTCGATTTTGTTATCGCATTTTGTACCATTTCGTGTTCTCTGTCGAGTACATTAACAAATTAGAATAAACCCTCGTTTTTTCCTTGAAGAATTGTGATTTTGGGAATTCGGTACTAGTTTTCTGAAATTCATCTTTTAATTCGACACTTGGTTTCCAAAATAAATTATTTTTTTCGACACTGTAGTTCCAAAATATATTGATTTGTTCGACAGTGTAGTTTCGAATAAAATAAAATATTTCAGCACTTGTTTTCCAAATTAATCGCGGGAAAAAAAAAAATTCTGCATGAAAAAACTTACTTTTTCATTACTACTTTTGCTGTCACCAGACATATTTTTACTTGATTTTGAACTTCTATTGGTTTGTAACTCTTTTATAACAAAATTAGGAATAATTGTGGATTTAATGAGATAATGGCGTATAAACCCAAAGAGTAAAGCAGTATGAGAGTTGTTATGAGAGTATTGCTTTGTAAGCAATAGAGGAGTATAGAGTGTGTAGCAAAGAAAGTTATAAACAATGGAAGAAGTGACAAATATGAATAAACTAAGGTTTAGGTTTTTTTTACTCAAAAGATGTGAACTAAGATTTTTTTATTTTTAAAAAAATGTGTACATAGAATAGTTTGATATAATATTATGGGTGTTGATGGATGTCCATTATAGTCATTTTAATTTAAGACATAATTTTCATTAAAATAATATTTCATTAAATGTGTGAACTGAGGTAACTAGGTGTGAAAATAGAATTTCCTATATGAAATTTTGTTTTCCTTCCAATTTTACCCATGTGTGAAATTGCCTTTAAGGACAAAACATTAAAATTAACTATATTTTATTATCTCCTTACACCCCTTAGTCTTCTCATTTTTTCTTATCTCTCATACATCTTTTTTTCAAAAAATGAGAATTATAGTATTTTGATCATAAAAGAAAACAATGGATAAAAAAACGGTGCTGAATAACCATAAAAAAAGGGAAATTGTGAGTTTTTTTATTTGTTTGGTGAGTTTTTGTTTCCTTTTTTTGGACTGTCCTTCGACATTTGTTCGGTATTTCGAAATTAAACAAAATAAAATAGTTCGGCTCATATCGTCAAACAAAAAATATATGTCAGATAACCAACAGCCGAATAAAATATATATTTCCGGTAACCCAAGGCCGAATTTTTTTAATTTATTCAACTACTCATTATCGTATATTTCTAGTTTCATTTTTTTATCTTTTATATTTTTTTACTTTGAATAATTATGCTTTTACTCATTGCAACAATGCAAGTACTGCATTATTAGTGGACTCTAGTCATGAATTCATTATAGACGATGTTTGTTAAGTTTTTTTTTTATGAATATGATTTTTTCTTATTTTAATTTGTATTGAGTTTTATTAATAATTTGACGTATAAACATATTTATTATTTTTAAATTTTTACTAGTCATCAATCATTGATTAAATGGGCTTTTGACATTAGAAAGAAAACTAGATTTGTCATTGTTATAAGGACATCAAATGCGAGAGGTAATGGTAGAAAAACCAAGATTTACACTTGAGCTGCATTCGAATGAAGTGCACTGCGTGTAACTATTTGGTCCACAGGAAATGGTTAGTGACCTTATCTTTATTATATCCTACTTCGAACTTAGCCCTGGATTTAATCATTAGATGACTATGCCTGACATGAGCCATTTGATAGCATCATACCGTAGAGCCTTTCTTTATTGTTTATCCATGCAACGGTGCTTAACGTTTCTACCATTTAGATCAGTATCGATTGGAACACCTAATCGAAGAGACATCTGCATAGGATTTGTAAATGGAAACCATTTCGTGTAGATATAAACTATTGAGCCTACTTAGATCATTACCATGTCTTATTTTGTAATTCTACTTATTGATGTCTTTGTTATATGTTTATTTGCAACCTAGTCATCCAGTACCTCCGATAGCAAATAATTTGATTTGTTTTCATCATCCGTGTGCTAATGGATGAGAGAAAGTATATACTATCCGTATTCATCAATTATGTACGCTTGTCAATCCTGATGTAGTAACTACTGAAACTATTGATATAGACTAGTGATAACATGTTTAATTTATAGATGTAAACAATGACATATTTTATGGATGCTTTTATGGATGTTTGTACATTTGATGTTTTAATGAATATTTTTATAGATACCTTTTTATGTATGGTTTTATGAATGCATTTTTGATTTATAGATGTTTTTTGTGAATGCTTGAAGGAAAAAGTAAATTTTTCAATATACATCGACATGTTGCTAGACAAATTTGTTATAGTTTGGCAACATGATACTAGAGTAATTTAATTTGTATAACAATTTATCATCGAATAGACACTTCACAAGTGACCCCGAATTAATTTCTTGTTATCTTCCAATCGAATGGCAACATATTGATGGGGAAAAAAATGTTTATCTAATAACATGGTACTGAATTAATTCAAATTCATTAGCACTGTATTGCCAAATAGGCTCGACACAAATTTAAAAATCATTGTTTAAAAGAAAAGTAGCTTTGTAAATATATAGCAACAAAATGTTGGATAAATTTATTTTTTCTGGTAACATAATACTGGAAGAATGTAAATTGTTTAGCATTATGTGACCGAACAAGCACTTCCCTATGGGCTCCACTTATTGTCTTCTCTGAGTATTTCTCTTTCCCCTTACTGCGTCTTTCTCTGTTCTCTTATTTTCCCTCTAAAAACTATTAGTGTAAAGAGATGAAAGAGTTTTGAAGAGTCTTACTTTAGGGTTAAATTTGGTAAGATAATAGATATAATGAGAATCACATTTTTTTTTAGTGGTGTAATAAGATGAAACGTGTAAAAAGGTAAAGTAGCGGTGTGAGTACAATCACTCGTATGAAAATTATATATGTTTTTTTTTGTATACTGTTACCCTTTTTGTATTTTGTTATTTTTTTTATAAATATTATATTTTTTAAGTGTGTTTAGATTAAGTATATTTAAAAAATTAACTAAAAAGAACAAAAAAATATGGAAACAAAAAAAACTTATACTATTTAAACAAGGGAGTCAAAAAAGGTCCTACCGGGAGTCGAACCCAGGTCGCTGGATTCAAAGTCCAGAGTGCTAACCACTACACCATAGAACCCTAGCTGCTTTCAATTTTAACCAATATATTTATTTTATTAAAAAGCGAACGTTGGCACCATGTCAAATGCCCCAACAAGCTTCGACCTTCCCCAACAACGAAACGAAACGAACCGTGCCGATTCTCGGTTTCTCTTAGACTTTCACTACTCGGACTTGAATCCAAACTTATGAAAAGCGGTCGTAGTGGTCGTAACAGTGGCAATAACATGGTTGCAGTTGTGAAATGTAAAAGTCGTAACGTAACGGTTGCGATAATCAGAACCATGAATTTTTTTATTTTTCGCACAATTTAAAAAAAAACCTTATTGATACAAATATTTTTTTTTCTATGATCATATTTATTGAGTTTAAAATAAATATTGATCAATTTTCGTAAATTTTTAAGTATGATCTAATATATTTTATATTTCTAAATCAATATAAACTGAATGTTTTACATTTTCTTTTAATAATTAATGACTTTATATTATACAAAAAAATAATCACTAACTATTATATATGAGATAAACAATGAAAAAGTAAGAGAATAAATAAGAGTCTAAATATATATATATATATATAGATATTTTAACCAAGCCAAATAGATAATGACCACACTTATTATTATTATTATTGTTATTATTTTCAAACAATATATAGATAGGCTCACACAAACAAAATAGTTAAGTGATAGCAGCTGAATAGAATAACATAAGTCTTACCGTTTTAATAAATCAACAACATGTTTTTCATCTTCCCTCTTCTCTCTCTATCTCTTGCTCATCCATCTTCTCTCTATCTCTCTTTCCCCATTATTAGTTTTTTTTTTTTCTTTCAAAAAAACAGTTCGGAACCGTTATGTAACGGTACGTAACAGGCCGTTACGGCACTGTTATGACCGCTACGGTCGACACATCTGTAAATCTCAATCACACTATAAAAACGATCATAATAAATGATGGTAACCACCACAATCGTTACGGCACCGTTATGACCGCTACGGTCGACATATCTATAAATCTCAATCACACTATAAAAACGATCATAATAAATGACAGTAACCACCACAATTATTACAACGTTATATAACAATTACGGTCGCTTATTAAAACCTTCCTCGGATCCATCCTCAAAATTGGCACTCACTCACACACCCCTAAAACCCTAAAAAACATAAGCATGATATGTGTATCTTCCCATCATGTAAATTGAAAGCATATTTCTCTCAAATCTGTTACTTGATTGTGATTTGATTCTTTCAATTCAAAGCATAGCGAAAGATGGAAAATCCCACCTCTTATGACCTCATAATCTTGGGTGCCTCTGGTTTCACAGGCAAGTATGTAATCAAAGAAGCCCTTAAATTTCTCGACACCCTTTCTTCCCCACTCAAATCCATCGCTCTAGCTGGCCGTAACCCAAACAGAGTATCTCAAGCACTGACATGGGCCACTCACCCCAACCCACCACCCCCAATTCCCATCCTCACCGCGGACACCACCGACCCAGCTTCCCTCCGCCGCCTCGCCGCCCACACCAAGCTCATCCTCAACTGCGTCGGCCCGTTCCGCCTCTACGGCGAGCCCGTCGTCGCCGCCTGTGCCGATTTGGGCTGCGATTACCTCGACATATGCGGCGAGCCGGAGTTCATGGAGAGAATGGAGGCCAAGTACCACGATGAGGCGGTGGATAAGGGTTCTTTGGTGGTTTCGGCTTGTGGGTTTGATTCGGTTCCGGCTGAATTGGGGTTGATCTTCAATTCTAGGCAGTGGGTGTCCCCGGCTGTGCCGAATCGGATTGAGGCGTATTTGAGTCTGGAATCGGATAAGTGGGTTGTTGGGAATTTCGGGACATATGAATCGGCGGTTTTGGGAGTGGCCAATGCTGATAGATTGCAGCAATTGAGGCGGTCCAGACCCAGAAGAGCTCGGCCTTTGGTATGACAATTTCTCTGCTTTCTTGCTTGCTATCTCTCTCTATATGTTTGCATTATATGTATATATAGTTCCAATGTTGGGCTATAATTCTTAATTTTGTTGATAATTATTATTTTGTAAAGATTGTATACCCATGGAGTAGCTATGGTGTTCTTCTCAGTGTAAAATCATGTTAGAGTAGATTGTAATTGTAGTCTTTCTTGGCCAAGAAATCCCCCAGTTAACCTTCTCTTAGCTTTAGTTTGGGTGTTTAATTCAAGAAATTCTTTTCTAGTGTTTTCTTCCCTCTGTTTTCTCGGCAACATGGCGGATGTTAATTGATTGGCCTTTGGTTTCTGTTCTTCTATTTGGATTTTGGTAGGTATTTCTGATATTAATGCCAATAACGATAAAAAGAGTTTTAGCTTTGGCATTGTGGAAAATGTTTAGTTATTTTTTATAGCGATGGGCATCCATGAGTTCATTAGAAAAGAGTTATGCTTTCTTTTTGTTTTACTAGTGGAGGCGGTGTCTGTTGTTTCTCCCCCATTTAGAAAATCACGGGTACAACTGATGCATATTCAGTCTTTTCTTTAGGATTTCGTTCTTACTATTCCAATAAGCATTTGTTTGCATGTGGTATTACTCATCAAATAGCCTTTGAAGAGTTGTTTCTATTGTTTGAATTGAGGGTTTCAGTTCTTGGAGAAAGAATGCATCTACTGCTTACTTTAATTGTTCTTTTTACTATCATCTTTTGTGCTTAGCCTCAACATTTCTACAATGATATTAGCAGTGTGAATTATTGATGATGTCTGAGGACGACTGATATCACCTGAGCGGATTATTTTCAACCTAAAGCTATCTTTATTCTATGCTTAGTGTATTGAGTTTGGAATGCTATCAATTTTTATTATTATTTTGTTTGAGTCTTGGCAAAGAGAATCCTGTAACAGACTGAATTTATAAATCTTAATGTATCTGATTCCTGGAATCTGGATTTTTGTGATGCACTTAAACGTTTTGTTCCATTGCTGAAGAATCATGTTTGAAGTTCAATAAGTTTGCACATCACGTAATAGTTTCAACATCTTATTTCTGAGATTTGTTATTACAATTAAAGTTTGCCATCTTTGATTGTGGTGGGTGGAGGAGGTTTTGATTTTTTTTGTTAATTGACTGTGGGCTTTTATGAATGATGTTGAAGTTGAATCTATGATTGTATTTTGCATGTTCTTGCCTTTCATAATGCATCTTAATTGAATTCTTATGTTATATTGAGCTGCTCTTGGTAAGTTGAACTTTATATATTGATATCAAATTTCTGCCTTCGTTTGCAGATTCCTGGTCCTGCCCCTCCCAAAGGACCAATAATAGAACACCAGAAGAAGATTGGACTTTGGGCTGTCAAACTACCATCAGCAGATTCTGTTGTTGTTCGGAGGACACTTGCAACTCTGAAAGAAAACCCCTGTGGTCTTCCAGGGGTTAATGAGAGTGCCAAACAGATTGAAAAGAGGGAAGCCTTTTGGCCAACGGTGAAGCCAGCTCACTTTGGAGTGAAGATAGCTTCTAAATCTGTGTTTGGTATCATTCGGTTCATCATTGTTGGAATATTCATTGGGCTTTTGGGTAAAACCAACTTTGGGAGGTGGCTTCTCCTAAAATTTCCCTCAATTTTCAGCCTTGGGTGGTTTAAGAAGAACGGTCCCAGTGAGGATGAGGTGAGAAGTGCTTCTTTTAAGATGTGGTTTGTTGGACATGGATTTAGTGATAGCACCCTTGCGGCACAGGGAAACATGAAACCCGATATGGAAATAATAACAAGAGTAATGGGTCCGGAGATTGGCTATTTGACCACTTCAATAGTTCTAATTCAGTGTGCTCTTGTTCTACTAAGCCAACGTGGTAACTTGCCAAAAGGAGGAGTTCTAACACCTGGGATTGTATTCGGCCCAACAGATCTTCAAGAACGACTCCAAGAGAATGGAATATCTTTCGATTTCATTTCAAAGAGTGCTCTCTCTACCTAAATGGCAAGGTCTTTGTCACATTAATATTACAAAATTTGGTGCCTTTTTAAGCAGTTGTATCATATGTTTTGGTTTCTTTATATGCTTGGTGTGTGCTACTATTGAGAATTTAAAAAACCTTTCTACATCTGTATCTTGTGACGCCTCCTTCATCTCATTGCAACTTGGCAAACACAAAAAACAGCTAATTTTGAAAGCTCTGTATGTATATTATTATGACATCCTATTCCTTCGTAAACCTTTTTATTCAAGTTGAAAACATGACATTATTGCCAATGTTATATGACAGTCTATCGATAATGCTTGCAAACACCGATTGAACACTGACATGTTTTCAAGGCCTTCTTCCTCATATGGCAATGTGTTTCATTAACCCTTTGAGTCACTGGACTGTAACACTGACATGTTCTCAAGGCCATCTTCCTCAAATCTCAATGCGTTTAATTAACCCTCTTAGTCATTGGACTGTAACATTGGCCCGAAAACAGAGGCTCTGTTTGGAAGAGTTTTGGAAATGTAATTTTACCGCTTGATTTGCACTTGGCATTTGGTTACAGTTTTTAAAAATTAATTTTACATCTATTTTTGAAAATCCTTTCCAAGGCGGGAAAATTTACTTTAACCGGTCGTCCCCCGTATGTCCGGTCGGTTGATCGAAACAGTACACAATTTATTTTTATTTTATTTTTAATTTTTACAATTGACACCTGTTATTTTTTATATTTTAAATAAAAAAAATTGGAATTTTTAAATTTTTTTTATGAGTTTTGAATAGAATTTTGAATTGTGTGTTTGGTTATGAATTGTAAATTTTTATATCAAATATTATATGTCACATCAAAAAATTTTCATTCAATTCAAAACTCATTCACCAAACAAAATTTTCACACTTACAAACTTAAAATACAACTTATGTTCTCAAATCATATTTAGAAAACTTTACCAAACGTTATTATAGTCTTCTTAGATGGTGTTTGTTTGGAAGGATTTGAGCATGGGATAGGACTAATAGTCCATCCGGAATAAAGTCCGTTACTTGATTGAAATTTTTTGTACTGGACTAATAGTTCATTCCGATTATGAATTCCAAATCTATGGAATTATTCTATCCCATGGAGGGTGAGACACAGTCCATATGATAACTCATCCCATGGGATAAGGTAGTGAAATTATATTTTTGATCCTCTACTATTTAATATCTTTCTAAAAATAAAATTTATTTATTAAATTATTTATACTTTATTAAATTATTTATTTTAATAATATGGTATTAATTATACTTAGTAAACTAAAATAAAATTTAAAAATCTCAACTACAAATTAAAATAAATTTATATAATTTTTATTAATATTCTATTTATTTAATTTTTTAAAAGTTCTAGTAAAAAAATAAAATAAAATTTATAATTCAGATATAATATTCCTATTATTTAGAAAATAATTTAAAATGACAAAATAGTCTTTTAAGTATTTATCATTTCCCATAATATCCCAAACAAATATAAGATTTAATAGAATAGTCCAATCTAAATATCTAATCCCACGACTAAATAAACATAGGATACAAATTTAGTTCAACCAAATAATCCGGAAATAATGTATTCCAAGACTAACAATCCGGTAGATTACAATCCCCATTATCCAATCCGTCCAAACAAAAAACATCCTTAAAATACTAGTATATATCGGCCCCGTTTGGTAGAGTTGTGGAAAAGTGATTATACCTTATAACTTAACAGCTTATAACTTATAGTAGTGAACATAAGTTAATTTTTGACTTATAAATTAAGCTTCTCCTCCCCCACTCAAAGAATAAGTTAATTTTTAACTTACAAAAAATTATAAGATGTATTGTTAAGCTGAACCAAACACACCAAAATAGTTTAAATTAACCTAAAAATTAAAATAAATTAGAAATAAATCTTACCAAACAGGACCATCCTCTGTGGAACATTTGAAACATCTGTCAGCATTAGCCATCAACCAAATATAGAGAGACACCCAACAAACTTCATATTAAAAATTACAAAACTTTCTAGAAATGCATTTATGCAAGCACCAATTAACCAAATATAGAGACACCGAACCCAACCTCATTTTGAAAATTACACTAAAGAAGAAAGAAAACACCAAAATTATTGAATCTAGCATTTATTTGAAAGGGGAAGGGTGGGTGATTTCGGTGGATTGAGATTTCCAACTGGGTGATCATAAAATCAAGGAAACAACCACCATTTAGGCAGTCTCTGCAAGCGTCAACGTCTCAATAATTCCCATCAATGCCTTCACCGAGCTCCCATTAGCATCTTGACAAGCCTTCCTAGCTTCTTCCCCAACTTCCATTGCTTTATTCCTCAACTTCTCATCACTCATCATCTCTCTAACCTTCTCTCCAATCTCTTCCCCTTTCACTACCTTCTCTCCACCCCAACCCCAATCTCTCACCCACATCCCCAGCCCAGCATTCTCAACCACCTCTGCATTCACCCTCTGGTCGCCGTGCAGAGGCCACGCCAACACCGGCACGCCGTGCCGAGCAGCTTCCATCACAGAATTCCATCCGCAGTGGCTAATGAAACCCCCAATTGCAGGGTGTGCTAGAATTTGCTCCTGATTTACCCATCCTTTCACTATGATTCCCCTGTTTTTTGTCCTTTCCAGAAACGAATTGCCCAGCAAATCTTCAATCTCTTCGTTGTCCTCTTTGTCCACTTTGCTGGATTTCAAAACCCACAAGAAGGGACATCCACTTCTCTCCAACCCATCTCCGAGTTCTCTGATTTGGTCCTTTGACATGGCTGTTCTGCTTCCGAAGCTAACGTACACTACAGATCCAACACTTTGATCATCTACCCATGAAAGATAGTCTCCTTTTTTGAACTTGTAAGGCTCGAATGGGCCAATTGGGAGAACAGGTGGGAGGCTACTTAAGACACTGCCATTGTTGAGTGCAGCGATTGTGTCGGGTTCGAATCGGTCAAAGGTGTTCAGCAAAATGCCTTTGGCTTTGGGGAGAATCTGAGCGTTGGATATTGCGAACGAGGTGAAGAACAGAGTCGGATTGAAGAATGGAGGAGGAATAGTTGACAGAGGCAGTGGGGATAAACCTGGGATTTGTACATCGTTATCGGATCCACCGAATTTAGCAGAGTTTTCGGAGAATAAGAAAGGAAGGTAGGAAAAGAGAGAGGAAAATCTAGCAGAGGTAGTGGAAACAACGTAGTTGGGTATGGAAAGATGTTCAGCAAGAGGAGTGACAGTCACGGAACCAACGAAATCAGAGAAGATAGCAGAGAGAGGTGGAGAGGAAGATAACAAGAGAGGCTTGAGAAGGTGAACAGAGCGACTAATGGCTTCAAATTGAATGAAGAAAGGGTCGGTGTTGGTGGAATTGGGGGGATTACAGGGGAGGATTTCAAAGTCGAGACGATTGATATGTGGGTAGGTGGAAAAGAAGGTAGAGATGTGGGTGGACTCAGCAACTGAGACTGTTGGCTTGACGGTGATGAGAGTTACGAGGCAGCCTCGTGAAGATAGCATGGCGGCTAGCCTGAGGAACGGAGTCAGATGACCCATGCCGGCGCCGGGGAAGAGAGCGACGTGAGGGGATTTTCCCGGAAAATCGTGGGTGTTGGGGGCCATTGTTGTTGGTGATGGGGAAACTAGTTGCTCACTCATTTTTTTGGACGACTCTGTACTTTGCCCTGTCTTCGGTTCGAACATATACGAGTGTGTAGGAGTCCGGATCCTCTCCAGCTTCTTTCTCCAGCCGTTTCTCCGGGCAACGGCTCAGATGGAGCCACATCACCTCTAAACAAATATACGGCTCAGATTTATTGTTTAAACCAAAAATAAATAAATAAAAAAAGTACACACCTACCCCCACTGACACACACTCTCTCTCTCCGTTGAACATTCTTTTCTCACAGCCACACACACTCACAGTACATATTCTCTCTCTCTCTCTCTATATCACATTTTAAAAAAAAAATAAATTAAAATCACACTCCTCCCTATCACATTTCTAATAAAAAATAAAAAAATTATTTTAATCTTTTTCATTTTATTATCATAATATATATATAATTTTTAATATAAAATTTTAATTTTTATAAAATTAATATCATTGAAAATATACTTTTAAAATAAATAAAAAAGTAATTTTATGTTAGTTATGCTTTCAAAGTATTTATTTTTAAAAATATAAAAATTATTTTGATAAAAATAAACACACCAAAATCATATATTTTTGAAATTCTCAAAATAATCTTCAAATCCAAATATATATAATATATATATATATATAAAAATAATGACTTACTGTCATCAATGTAAATTTTATTTTCTTTTTAAAACCCAAATTCAATTCTGTGCATAGGTGTAACATAATATATTATTTTTTATTTCCTTTAAAAAAAATTATTAAATCTACTGTTTGGTTTAATTTAAAATAAAATCTAAATAAGTTTCATTATTTTCTATATGATTTTTTTTTATGGTAATAGAGAAAAGATTTGTGTTTTTGAAAATTCAAAATAATATTATTGTATTTGTGTTTATTTATAAATTTTTATATTTATTTATTTTAAAAAAAAAAATAATTGTGAAAACATAACTAAAATCTTAATTACTTTTATTTATTTTAATTTTTTTAAATATATTAATATTAGTCTCATTTTTAAGGTATATTTCCAATGATATTAATGTTATAAGTTAAAATTTTATAGTATTAAAAATTATTATATATTATAGTGTTATGAAAAATTTAAAATAATTTTTAAACTCTAATTGAGTCTCATTTTTTGTTTTATGTTTTGGCTAGATTTGAGTGTAGAGTTGTTTTTAAATCTAATATTAAATTTTAAATTATTTAAATTTTTTTGAATATTTATTTTTAATTTTTTACTTATTAAAATTTTTAGATTATTTAAATTATTTAATATTTATGATTTAAATTTTTGAATATTGATTTTGAAAAAAAAATTATTTCCTTGTAGTATTTTTCAATTAAAAAATTGATTAATGTTATTTTCTGTTAATAATAAATTAATTTTTTTGGAAAATGGAATGGAACGGCGTCGTTTTTTTTTTGGAAAAATGGACCTGTTTGCTTAAACACCAGTACTGTTAAAAATTAATTTTTGTTAATTTTTTTTATTTTTTTTATTTGTAGTGAATATTTCTAAAATTTTTTTTTTTTTTTTACTTGTTTAGATGCATCTTATTAAGATATATCTAAAAATAAAATATTTGTGAAAAAATACTTTTAAAAATAATAAAATACATATAAAAATCAAAAAATATATTGAAACTTTATGGGCGTCCGTTTGGTAAGACTTTTTAACTATGATTTGCGAATATGGGTTGTATTTTGAGTTTTGTGTATTGAAATTATGATTTGAGTGTAAGAAAATTTGTTTGGTTATGAGTTTTGAAAAGAGTTTTCAAAACTTAATTCAAATTGTTATAACTCATAACAAAACATACTACTTTCACATTATTGAAAATTCTGATCAACACTCATAACCAAACTCTTTTTAAAATTCAATTAAAAAAATTTATTATTAACAGAAAATAACATTAATCAATTTTTTAATTGAAAATACTACAAAGGAAATAATTTTTTTTCAAAATAAATATTCAAAAAATTTAAATCATAAATATTAAATAATTTAAATAATCTAAAAAATTTAATAAGTAAAAAATTAAAATAAATATTCAAAAAATTTAAATCGTAAAAATTTAAATAATTTAAATATTCAAAAAATTTAAATAATTTAAAATTTTAATATTTTAGATTTAAAAACAACTCTACACTCAAATCGTAACCAAATACATAAAACAAAAGTCAATTAAGAAATTATTTTTAAAACTCATAACCAAACACATAACTCGAAACTCCATACTACTTTTACAACTCTATACTCAAATTGTAACCAAATACATAATAAAAAAATTAAAATATTTAAAAATATTTTAAAAATTAAAATCGTAATATTAAAATTTAATTTCTTAATTCATTTCTTCCTTCACAACGTGGCAGCTTCAAAACCTTCGGATCACTCCTCCGCAACGTGTCGCAATCTTGTTGAAAGTGCTGGATAGTGCCGGATGGAAGGACTGCCGGAGAGGAGGGGAATCCCCGGCGAGGCTTTGCTACAGACCTACCAGTAATCATCCATATACGAGTGTGTAGGTGACTTTAATGGGGCTTTGCTACAGACCTACCAGTAATCATCCATATACGAGTGTGTAGGTGACTTTAATGGGTAATGCTATAAGTTTTGTAATTTGTGAATTTTATTATTATAAATAATATAATTTAATATTATAATTCTAGTTAAACATTAAAGAAAATATAACAAAAATTCTTAGATCGTAATCAATTTATTCATACACAAAATTCTATAAGAATAATGTCGTAATATTATTATTGTAAAAAGAGTTTATTACACTCTCTATTATTAAATTATCGTTAAATTATCTACTTAGTTTTTTGAATTATTGATTGAGTCTGTTTAGTCTCTAAAGTATATAAACTAAAATTTATTTAATCCTTAAACTATCGATCGAATCTATTGAGTCTCTAAAATATTTAATTCAAACTTATTTAATCTAAAGGATTACAAAAATAAAATATAAATTCTTAAGTATTATAAATTAATAAAAGACTTTATCAAGTTAAGATTTTATTTCAAAAAAATCTTAAATTTCTATTTGGTCTTTAAAAAATGTTTTTTTAAAAAATGTTTTTTTATTGTGTGTTTAAATTAATATCAGAATCTTGCCAATAAAATTATATAAGTATTAAACATACTAAAGAAATAGAATTAGAATTGGATAATTTGAATTATAATACTTTGATACGAATTATAATTAAATAAAGTAATACATTAAGCCTGTGTTTGGCAAGTGGGTTTGCAGGCTTTTTTGGCTATTTTAGTCACAAAAAACAAAATAGGCTATTTTAGCCATAACAAACAAAACATCACATCTAACTCATAATCATTACATTCCTCTTTCACAAAAAAATTCAAAAAAGTCAAAAAGCCAAAAAGCCAAAAAGCCCTTCCCAAATCAAGCTTTTAAGCCCAGGCTAAAATAGCCAAAAAAGCCAAAAAGCTAAAAAGCCAACCCACTTCCCAAACGGAGGCTAATTAAGTTATAAAAAACATTTAGTGAAAATTTTAAAAACAATTAATAGGAAATTATAGACGACATCTGGTATATAATATTAGATAAAGGGCTTATATTTTAACTTGATAGGGTTTTTTACTAATTTATAATATTTATGGGCTAATATTTTATTTTTGTAATCTTTTTAGGGATTAAATAGGTTTGAATTGAATATTTTAGGGACTTAATAGATTCAGTCTTCGTTTGGCATTGACTTTTTTAGCCTCGTTTGGTTTGGTTTCTTTTATTTTTGTGGGAGAAAAAATGTAATGATTATGATTTGGATGTGACATTTTATTTTATTGACTTATGTAGCTAATTTTGCCTTTTTGTACTTTTTTAGCCAAAAATCTAAAAACCAAACGAAGTTTCAATCGATAGTTTAGGAAATTGATATATTTTAATTTTTATACTTTATGGGCTAAGTAGACAATTAATAGTTAAGAGACTAAATAGATAATTTAGAAATAGTATAGGGGTAGAAAGTGTAATAAACTTTTGTAAAAAATCATATTAATTGAATATCAATATATATTTGATCATATCACATTTGTGTCAATAATTTATTTTAAAAATCAACATAAATAAATTTTATTTGATCAAGTGACTATCAATATTCGATTAACGTAATTTTTTATAAAAATAAAATATTCGATAAACCTTATGTAAGTTTCAAATTATCAATATAAGCTCCATAATAGATCTACGCAGGCACAATAACATTCCAATTTGATTTCATAGTAGAGAAAATTTTTATGTACCTTTTCACCTATTTTTTCAAATTTAATATTTTACACTGTTCTCAGATGATTCAAGACCTCATTCATGATTAGCTTGGACGACGACTGTTAAGAAGAGCATTTCTAATAGTCTTTTTATTTGCCATTTTTTCTATATTTTAAAGAGTTAAATACAAAATAAGGCTGTGTTTAGTTTAGGCGTGGAATTATATTTTAGTACTGTATTTAAATATAATTTTCAAAAATTAATTCTGTACTCACCTTTGAAATTTTCTATAAGAACATGTTTGGCGAAGTAGAATTTTTAAATTTTAAATTTTAAAATTGGGCCTATCCTATCACCCGCCCGCCCGACCGATTGACTGGAATAATAATTTTTTTTGTTTTGTTCTGGTGTGTGTGCGCAATTGCCACCTGTTATTTAAAAAAAGTTATATTTGTTTTTGATATTTTTTAATTATAGAAATTATATTTTTTAGATCAAAATGACCAATTATTTGGTCATTTATTTAAAATTAACAAAAAAAAAATTAAATAAAAATTAATTTGTCACAGTAATTTTTAAAAAATTAAAAAATATTTTTTTTAAAAAATCAACCAAATATACAATCAAAAGTAATTTTAAAACACTAGCTAAATATTTTTTTAAACAAAAAATAATATATATTTTTTAATATTTAAAATAAAAAAAATATTTTCTGAATTTTTGAATTTTTAAATATTTTT